CTCATTCTCCTTTAAGCTTACCGAGTACCATTTTTTCTGAAGCATGCCTACTTCTGTCTTACATTTTTTTCTTTGAAAACCGCTCTTGTTTTCTGTTTGTTCACTTATTCACAGCAAAGAGCAACCATAACACTCTTTTCTTAGGCAGTGAACCCAACCCAGCACACACTCAATTTTTCCTCCCCCCCCCACACACACACACCCCCATGTCATATTCATAAACCTTATTTATATTTTTACAAGGATGTTCCATAATACGAATCCTCTTACCTTTTCCTCGGATTTCATTTGATTTTAATTTTTTTTATAGTCAGTTGTCTCAAACGAAGAATGGAAGACAGGGATCTTGGGGGACCGAAAAATGTGTGTATGATATTGATTACAAATATGGATAAAGAGTTATGCCCATCTACAGTTACAGAGTTCTTACGGAGACATACTTCTCTATCAGTCCTAGTCTTTATTTTTCCAAATTTGTCAATGGAGGTATATAATAGGGGAGCCATTATGGTGCATTCTGAAAAAGAGTTGCAAGAGCTGTGTGGCTTTTTGAATAATCCCAACTGCATCATAACATCTTCAACTGGCAGGTATTCTACATGTTAGCTCTTAAATATTGATGTCTACTATGGTTTTCATTGTTACTATGTTGTTTCCATTTAACGTTGAAACCAGGCTTGTCAATTTTTTTTTTTTTTTTTTTGCAGTAATTGTTTTAAATTGAACCATCAATTCTTACAAAATTTTATATAGACTGATTTAGTAAAACTGTTTTTATACTCTTTAAAATTAATCTATTCATTGTCGTTTTTAGGCCTTTGGTGATACTTGAAAAACTAGTGGGATTAGAAAATATTAAAGCATCAATAGGAGCCTTGGTGCATATATCAGAGGTAGGTTTGTGTCCAGAATTTTACTTCAGAAAGTTGTTTATATAGGGTAATAATAATCCTCACAGGCTGTGTTTTCATTGTTTTCTTCTGTAGAATATATTGCAGGAAAAACAGAGAAGATGGATGAACAATTTGAAGGTTGTACATTTAGGAAGTAAAGAATTCAAGATAGCTAGTATTATGAGGGATTTATTTTGGGCATTTTCTGAGCACCAAGAACGCTTACAGAAGAGGCTTGCACTTGAGGAGCGAAGGATATTTGCAGCTAATGAACAATTAGCTTAAATGTTTGTCCTTCACTTCTTAATGTTTTTTTTTTGCTCATATGTAAATACAACTACTGCAGGCCTATGACCTACTTTTTCTTTTCTTCCAAAATTATTGGTATTAAAGCGTTAAGAAAATGTTGATCGGTCCAGAAATTAGTTTTCAAAAAGTTTATTTTTATATTCTAAAACCTAATTTGCAGGTATTGAACACAGTCAAGTCAAACACTTTAAATAGTTGGTTTTTACTGGTATTTCTGTTGTAATCAGTTTTCTGTTTTTAATGATATTTAGTATATACTTTCTGTATATAAAGCTATATTGGTTTTTCATGAATAGATCTCTCACTCTGCAATTCTTCATTAAAACCTTCTCTTCCAATTCTCCAACAGAATTGGTATCAGAGCATAGGTTACGAAGAAACTTGAGGCGTACTTCAAGAAGACCAAGAACACAGTGCGATTGTTTGGATCTTGAAGCAAGAAGAATGGCAGGGAGTGATCTTTCCACAACAAACCTTCCGATACTCACAGAAAAGAATTGGACGAGATGAAGCACACAGATGAGGGTGTTGTTCAAGTTTCAAGACGTTAGTGACGTTATTGAAGGTGATGACCGAGAGATTGGTCTTGGTGCAACGGACGACCAGAAAGCTACGTTCACAAAGAAGGATAACAAGGCCCTTTTCATCATTCCCCAATGTGTTGATGATACCCATTTTGAGAAGATTCAGAACGCTAGCACTGCCAGAGGAGCCTGGAGCATTCTAGTACGTTGTCACATAGGAGGGGAGAAGATCAAGAAGGTGAAGCTTCAAACCCTTAGAAGGCAGTATGAGTTACTGCAGATGGAAGACAACGATAGGGTTGGTGAATATTTCGACAAGATACTCACCATTACGAATCAGATGCAAGGATGCGGGGAAGTCGTCAATGATACCATGATCATGGAGAAGATCATGAGACCGCTGCCATGGAAGTTTGACTATATAGTGGTCGCGATAGAAGAATCGAAAGACCTTTCGAAGATGAAGGTTGAAGAGCTTCAGAGTTTGTTGGAAGCCCATGAAATAAGGATGATGGATAGAAACCCAGTCAAGAACGATGAACAGGCCTTAAAAGTGCACCATACAAAATATGATGAGAAGAAGAAATCAAAGAAGTGGAAAGGGAAACGGTCAAAAGGGAATTGGAAGACTGATAAGGGTAAGGATGATCACGATGATAAGTTTGTATTAGCGGAAAAAGATGGAAGAGCAGAGAAGAGTTATTATCCAAAGAAGGATAAAAGAAACATCGAATGCTTCAACTGTCACAAGTATGGACACTTTGCATCTGAGTGTTATGCGGAGAAAGGGAAGCAGAAAAGGCATCAAGACAAAGAAGCGTATGTTGCTCAGGAGGATTCAGATTCGGAACCTCTAACCTTGATGGTGACTACCTCAGGTGAAAGCTCCAGTTCTCATGCCGATATGTGGTACCTAGACTCTAAGTGCTCAAACCATATGACGTGCCATCAAGATTGGTTAATCAACTTTGATGCCACGAAGAAGAGTAGAGTAAAATTTGCGGACGACAATACTCTGAAGGTGGAGGACATGGGAGATGTTGTGATTCGGAGGAAGAATGGCTCGCATGCAAAGATCACGGGTGTGCTTTATGTTCCTAATATGAAGTGTAATCTTCTAAGTGTTGGACAACTGATTCAAAGAGGATTTAAAGCGGTGATGGAAGAGAACAAAGTCGAACTATTCGACAGTGACAAGAATCTAATCTTGAGAAGCAAGATTTCCAAGAACAGGACATTTCAGATTAGCCTGGAAGTGGTAGAAAACTCTAAATGCATGGTTACAGTGAAGGTTAACGAGGAAAGCTGGTTGTGGCACTTGAGATACGGTCACCTGAATTTCAAGAGCCTGCAGCAACTTAGCATGAAAGAGATGGTTCATGGTCTGCCTGAAATTATCTTGCCAGAAAAGGTGTGTGAAACAAACGAGGAAGCCATTTAAAACTGAGTTGAGTATGAGAGCAAAGGCCTGTTTAGGAGTCGTACATTCGGACATTTGTGGTCCAATTGAAGTGCCTACAGTTGCTAGAAATAGGTACTTCATCACATTCATTGACGAATTCAGCAGAATGATTTGGGTGTATTTGATTAAGATGAAAAGTGATGCATTGGAGATGTTCATACGGTTCAAGACACACGTTGAAAGAGAGAGTGGCAAACAATTAAAGATACTCAGGACAGATGGAGGAGGAGAATACACCTCTGTTGCCTTCGAGAATCATTGTCAAACGCATGGGATTGAACATGAGATCACCGCTCCATATACTCCTCAGCATAACGGACTTGCAGAGAGGAGGAACCGCACAATATTCAACATGGCCAGAAGCATGTTAAAGGAGAAAGCGCTGCCAAAGAAGTTGTGGGGTGAGGCGGTATCCACAACTGTACACCTACTCAACAGGTGTCCTACGAAGAAATTAGAGGGTAAAGTGCCACTTGAGGCGTGGAGCGGTGAGTGACCGATAATTGGTAATCTGAAGGTGTTAGGCTCACTCGCGTACATGCACGTCCCAGATCATAAGAGATCTAAGTTGGAGGATAAGAGCAGAGTAATGTTGTTCATCGGGTATCATCCCACTGGCGCGCATAAACTCTTCGATCCAATTGAAGAGAAAGTCACTTTGAGGAGAGATGTGGTGATTGTGGAAGACAAATGTTGGGACTGGAATCAAAAGCGTATCAGCTTGATGAAAACTAGAATGGCGGAAGATGAGGATAACCCAATTACGACAGAGTCATCAACGATGTCAGAAAACAGGCAGCGAGTTCAGTGTGATGAATCTGATAGACCAAGGAGGCAGCGAGTGCAACCGCAGAGGTTCGACAACTGTGAGGTCTATTCAGATGCGCAGATAGGTGATGAAGGTGATCTGGTGCACATGGCTCTGTTGGCTGGAGCAGAACCCATAGACGAAGGTGAGGCTTTGAAAGAACTTGTATGGGGGAATGCGATGAGAGAAGAAATTGAATCCATTGAGAAAAATGGAACATAGAGGCTTGTTAACCTTCCGGCTGGGAAGAAGAGTATTGGGGTGAAGTGGGTGTTCAAATGCAAGCTAAAACCTGATGGATCAGTCTCCAAGTTTAAAGCCAGACTGGTGACAAAGGGTTTTCTCCAAAGACAAGGCGTAGACTTCACCGAAGTGTTTGCGCCAGTTGCAAGAATGGAAACTATTCGATTAGTGTTAGCCATGGCTTGTGCGAGACAATGGTCTTTATTTCAACTTGATGTGAAGTCCGCTTTCCTGCATGGTCCATTGGAAGAAGAAGTGTATGTCCAGCAACCACCTAGATTCATTGATGAAGACAGAGAACACCAAGTGTACAAGTTGGAAAAAACATTATATGGACTGAGGCAAGCTCCCAGGGCGTGGAATAAGCGTATAGATTCGTTCCTGCTGAAGCTCAAATTTACCAGATGCATTGTTGAACACGGTGTTTACGTGAAAGGGGGTGAAGGAGAAGACTTGTTGATCATCTGTTTGTATGTGGATGATCTTCTCATCACTAGATCAAACCCAAAACGGATAGATGAGTTAAAGAAAGTCATGCAGTCAGAGTTTGAAATGACTGATATGGGCAAATTGAGCTATTTTCTAGGCATGGAGTTCACCTACACAGTAGCAGGTTTGATCTTGCATCAGAAGAAATATATTAAAGAGTTGATAGGAAGATTTGGTATGACTAAGTGCAATCTTGCGAGGAGCCCAATTGAAGTGAATCTAAAGCTGACTAATAATGAAACAGAAGACGATGATGAAGAAACCACATTCANTTTATACTCTTTAAAATTAATCTATTCATTGTCGTTTTTAGGCCTTTGGTGATACTTGAAAAACTAGTGGGATTAGAAAATATTAAAGCATCAATAGGAGCCTTGGTGCATATATCAGAGGTAGGTTTGTGTCCAGAATTTTACTTCAGAAAGTTGTTTATATAGGGTAATAATAATCCTCACAGGCTGTGTTTTCATTGTTTTCTTCTGTAGAATATATTGCAGGAAAAACAGAGAAGATGGATGAACAATTTGAAGGTTGTACATTTAGGAAGTAAAGAATTCAAGATAGCTAGTATTATGAGGGATTTATTTTGGGCATTTTCTGAGCACCAAGAACGCTTACAGAAGAGGCTTGCACTTGAGGAGCGAAGGATATTTGCAGCTAATGAACAATTAGCTTAAATGTTTGTCCTTCACTTCTTAATGTTTTTTTTTTGCTCATATGTAAATACAACTACTGCAGGCCTATGACCTACTTTTTCTTTTCTTCCAAAATTATTGGTATTAAAGCGTTAAGAAAATGTTGATCGGTCCAGAAATTAGTTTTCAAAAAGTTTATTTTTATATTCTAAAACCTAATTTGCAGGTATTGAACACAGTCAAGTCAAACACTTTAAATAGTTGGTTTTTACTGGTATTTCTGTTGTAATCAGTTTTCTGTTTTTAATGATATTTAGTATATACTTTCTGTATATAAAGCTATATTGGTTTTTCATGAATAGATCTCTCACTCTGCAATTCTTCATTAAAACCTTCTCTTCCAATTCTCCAACAGAATTGGTATCAGAGCATAGGTTACGAAGAAACTTGAGGCGTACTTCAAGAAGACCAAGAACACAGTGCGATTGTTTGGATCTTGAAGCAAGAAGAATGGCAGGGAGTGATCTTTCCACAACAAACCTTCCGATACTCACAGAAAAGAATTGGACGAGATGAAGCACACAGATGAGGGTGTTGTTCAAGTTTCAAGACGTTAGTGACGTTATTGAAGGTGATGACCGAGAGATTGGTCTTGGTGCAACGGACGACCAGAAAGCTACGTTCACAAAGAAGGATAACAAGGCCCTTTTCATCATTCCCCAATGTGTTGATGATACCCATTTTGAGAAGATTCAGAACGCTAGCACTGCCAGAGGAGCCTGGAGCATTCTAGTACGTTGTCACATAGGAGGGGAGAAGATCAAGAAGGTGAAGCTTCAAACCCTTAGAAGGCAGTATGAGTTACTGCAGATGGAAGACAACGATAGGGTTGGTGAATATTTCGACAAGATACTCACCATTACGAATCAGATGCAAGGATGCGGGGAAGTCGTCAATGATACCATGATCATGGAGAAGATCATGAGACCGCTGCCATGGAAGTTTGACTATATAGTGGTCGCGATAGAAGAATCGAAAGACCTTTCGAAGATGAAGGTTGAAGAGCTTCAGAGTTTGTTGGAAGCCCATGAAATAAGGATGATGGATAGAAACCCAGTCAAGAACGATGAACAGGCCTTAAAAGTGCACCATACAAAATATGATGAGAAGAAGAAATCAAAGAAGTGGAAAGGGAAACGGTCAAAAGGGAATTGGAAGACTGATAAGGGTAAGGATGATCACGATGATAAGTTTGTATTAGCGGAAAAAGATGGAAGAGCAGAGAAGAGTTATTATCCAAAGAAGGATAAAAGAAACATCGAATGCTTCAACTGTCACAAGTATGGACACTTTGCATCTGAGTGTTATGCGGAGAAAGGGAAGCAGAAAAGGCATCAAGACAAAGAAGCGTATGTTGCTCAGGAGGATTCAGATTCGGAACCTCTAACCTTGATGGTGACTACCTCAGGTGAAAGCTCCAGTTCTCATGCCGATATGTGGTACCTAGACTCTAAGTGCTCAAACCATATGACGTGCCATCAAGATTGGTTAATCAACTTTGATGCCACGAAGAAGAGTAGAGTAAAATTTGCGGACGACAATACTCTGAAGGTGGAGGACATGGGAGATGTTGTGATTCGGAGGAAGAATGGCTCGCATGCAAAGATCACGGGTGTGCTTTATGTTCCTAATATGAAGTGTAATCTTCTAAGTGTTGGACAACTGATTCAAAGAGGATTTAAAGCGGTGATGGAAGAGAACAAAGTCGAACTATTCGACAGTGACAAGAATCTAATCTTGAGAAGCAAGATTTCCAAGAACAGGACATTTCAGATTAGCCTGGAAGTGGTAGAAAACTCTAAATGCATGGTTACAGTGAAGGTTAACGAGGAAAGCTGGTTGTGGCACTTGAGATACGGTCACCTGAATTTCAAGAGCCTGCAGCAACTTAGCATGAAAGAGATGGTTCATGGTCTGCCTGAAATTATCTTGCCAGAAAAGGTGTGTGAAACAAACGAGGAAGCCATTTAAAACTGAGTTGAGTATGAGAGCAAAGGCCTGTTTAGGAGTCGTACATTCGGACATTTGTGGTCCAATTGAAGTGCCTACAGTTGCTAGAAATAGGTACTTCATCACATTCATTGACGAATTCAGCAGAATGATTTGGGTGTATTTGATTAAGATGAAAAGTGATGCATTGGAGATGTTCATACGGTTCAAGACACACGTTGAAAGAGAGAGTGGCAAACAATTAAAGATACTCAGGACAGATGGAGGAGGAGAATACACCTCTGTTGCCTTCGAGAATCATTGTCAAACGCATGGGATTGAACATGAGATCACCGCTCCATATACTCCTCAGCATAACGGACTTGCAGAGAGGAGGAACCGCACAATATTCAACATGGCCAGAAGCATGTTAAAGGAGAAAGCGCTGCCAAAGAAGTTGTGGGGTGAGGCGGTATCCACAACTGTACACCTACTCAACAGGTGTCCTACGAAGAAATTAGAGGGTAAAGTGCCACTTGAGGCGTGGAGCGGTGAGTGACCGATAATTGGTAATCTGAAGGTGTTAGGCTCACTCGCGTACATGCACGTCCCAGATCATAAGAGATCTAAGTTGGAGGATAAGAGCAGAGTAATGTTGTTCATCGGGTATCATCCCACTGGCGCGCATAAACTCTTCGATCCAATTGAAGAGAAAGTCACTTTGAGGAGAGATGTGGTGATTGTGGAAGACAAATGTTGGGACTGGAATCAAAAGCGTATCAGCTTGATGAAAACTAGAATGGCGGAAGATGAGGATAACCCAATTACGACAGAGTCATCAACGATGTCAGAAAACAGGCAGCGAGTTCAGTGTGATGAATCTGATAGACCAAGGAGGCAGCGAGTGCAACCGCAGAGGTTCGACAACTGTGAGGTCTATTCAGATGCGCAGATAGGTGATGAAGGTGATCTGGTGCACATGGCTCTGTTGGCTGGAGCAGAACCCATAGACGAAGGTGAGGCTTTGAAAGAACTTGTATGGGGGAATGCGATGAGAGAAGAAATTGAATCCATTGAGAAAAATGGAACATAGAGGCTTGTTAACCTTCCGGCTGGGAAGAAGAGTATTGGGGTGAAGTGGGTGTTCAAATGCAAGCTAAAACCTGATGGATCAGTCTCCAAGTTTAAAGCCAGACTGGTGACAAAGGGTTTTCTCCAAAGACAAGGCGTAGACTTCACCGAAGTGTTTGCGCCAGTTGCAAGAATGGAAACTATTCGATTAGTGTTAGCCATGGCTTGTGCGAGACAATGGTCTTTATTTCAACTTGATGTGAAGTCCGCTTTCCTGCATGGTCCATTGGAAGAAGAAGTGTATGTCCAGCAACCACCTAGATTCATTGATGAAGACAGAGAACACCAAGTGTACAAGTTGGAAAAAACATTATATGGACTGAGGCAAGCTCCCAGGGCGTGGAATAAGCGTATAGATTCGTTCCTGCTGAAGCTCAAATTTACCAGATGCATTGTTGAACACGGTGTTTACGTGAAAGGGGGTGAAGGAGAAGACTTGTTGATCATCTGTTTGTATGTGGATGATCTTCTCATCACTAGATCAAACCCAAAACGGATAGATGAGTTAAAGAAAGTCATGCAGTCAGAGTTTGAAATGACTGATATGGGCAAATTGAGCTATTTTCTAGGCATGGAGTTCACCTACACAGTAGCAGGTTTGATCTTGCATCAGAAGAAATATATTAAAGAGTTGATAGGAAGATTTGGTATGACTAAGTGCAATCTTGCGAGGAGCCCAATTGAAGTGAATCTAAAGCTGACTAATAATGAAACAGAAGACGATGATGAAGAAACCACATTCAAGTAGATTGTAGGCTCTCTACGATTTCTGTGCAACAGCAGACCAGACCTATCATTTAGTGTGGGGTTGATAAGCAGATTTATGGGCAATCCGAAGAAGTCGCACATGCTTGTAGCCAAGAGAGTACTGTGATACGTCAAAGGGACTGCAGATCTTGGAATATTGTTCTAGATTGGAAAACATAAGGTTGATGTGGGAGAATTGGAGCTTGTTGGCTTCACAAATTCATATCATGGTGGTGATTGTGTTGAGAGGAAGAGCACTTCAGGCTATATGTTCATGCTAAATGGATCTCCCATTTCGTGGTGCTCCAAGAAGCAGCCTGTGGTGGCTCTGTCCAGTTGCGAAGCGGAGTATATAGTAGGGAGCTACGCAGCATGTCAGGGAATCTGGTTGGAAGAAGTACTGGGGGAGTTGATGATTCCTATGAAAGCACCTCTGCAACTGAAGATAGACAATGTGTCTGTCATCAATCTCTCTAAAAATCCTGTAAGCCACAACAGAAGTAAACACATCGATGTGAGATATCATTTCCTTAGAGATATGGTAAACAAAGGTAGAATAGAGTTAGTATACTGCAACACTGAAACTCAACTGGCGGATGTCTTTACAAAAGCTGTGAAGATTGAGAGGTTTGAATGGTTGAGAAAAGATATTGGAGTTAGATCGATTTGTGAATGTTAGACTTGAGGAGGAGTATTGAATACAGTCAGGTCAAACACTTTAAATAGTTGGTTTTTACTGGTTTTTTTGTTGTAATCAGTTTTTTGTTTTTACTGATATTCAGTATATACTCTTTGTATATAAAGTTATATTGGCTTTGCATGAATAAAGTTACTCTTTGTATACTTTGGAACATTCTTTTTAGAAAAAGTTTTCAAAATATATAAATAATAACACTCTTACATGAAATATGTGCTGGAAAGAGTTTTCTAAATTTAGTGTTTTTCTGCATTTTCTCTTTTCTTCTCTATAGCCTTCCTCCTCTTTTCTTCTTCTATGTAGTGGTCATGATGGAAAGGATAGTGATAATGGTGGTGTGATACAATGACGAAGGGTATTTGAGTCTTTTTCAATATTTGTCGGTGTAGTTAGTAATTATGGGTGTGACTGAAAGTAATAGCCTAATATGAATAGAATTATCCAATGTTCAAAGGGTGTTGCTCCCTCCACCACTCCAAGTGCTTCTGTACCTCCCCACTATTTTCTTTTATTCCAAAAATACTCTACACATCCCCACTATTTTCTTTTATTCCAAAAGTACCCTACCCCTCCCCACTATCTTCAACAATATTTCTCTTTCTTTCTCTACATTAATGGAGCATTCATATGATTTAGATTTAAACTTAAAT